CATTTAGTCTTAAAAGGAAACGACTGGAAATGCGCAGATTCAAAGCCTTTTCCCCCAAATATCGAATGCAACTCACATTTTCTTCGTCTTCAAAATTTATCTCTTTTGTTTTTTTTTTGGATAATTCAAATTTTTTATTACCCAAAAGCAGTAAACTGCACAAAACAATAGAGTTAGAAATACAAGAAGCATCAAAAAAGCAAAAAGGAAATTAAGTCATCATACAATACCTCATTGGTTACAAAGATTTATATTAACATAGCCTAATCTACTAATATTTTTACCCCTTAGATGAAGACCAAGCAATTCCTTAATAGCATTGAACATTTCTTCAACAGTAGAAAAATGACTTTGAAACAACCTCTTGTTTCTTTCCTTCCATATAGTGTAAATCAAGGCATTAGAAGCAACTTTCATTATGGTAGTTAGTAGGGATTTGCCCTTCCAACACGCAACAACCCAATCGAATAGAGCATCCCAAGAAGGATGTCTAAACCGTAATCCATTAAAAGAAAATAAAGCAGACCATAGGGAGGAAACAACAGTGCACTCAAAGAAAATATGGTCTCTAGTTTCCATAGCAGCAGCACAAAAAATACAGTTTATGTCATTAACAATCCCCATTTTATGAAGCCTTTCTTTCGTAGGAAGACGGTCAAGAAAAGCCATCCAGGCTATAGGGCTATGCTTAGGAATGAGATGAGGGAACCAAAGTAAAGAGTGCCATTGAACTTTATGATTTTTAACTCTAATTTCGTTCCAGAAGATATTAACATTCGGAGAATGAGAAGACAAAATAGAGGAAGCATCAGTCCTCAATTTTTGAAGATGTTTTAAACTCCAGCTCATAGTTGGTTTAACAGCAACAAACCAGAAGTTGTTAGTATTGAACATGTATCTCCTTAACCAAGCCACCCACAACGAACCTTCTCCAGCCATAATTTTTTTAATGAGAATCATCATACAGGCTTTGTTCCATGCTTTCATGTCCTTAATGCCGAGACCACCCTCTGATTTAGGTTGAAAAACGTTTTCCCAGCTCACTCTAGCACCAGCAGCCGACTTATCAGCCCATTTTCAAAAGAATCTAAAACATATCCGCTCTATCTTTTTTAATGACAGAGTAAGGCAAGAAAAGCTATCTACACCAAAAATTAGAGATACTAAATAAAACTGCTCGAACAAGTTCCAGTCTACCAACATAACTTAAAGTCATCCCTGACCAGTGATTCAATCGAGCTTTAATGGTGTCAATAAGGGCAGAGTAATCCTTATCTGAAATTTTCCTTGTGACCAAAGGAATGCCCAAATATCTAAGAGGAAGACTGCCTATTTTAAAACCAGTAATCAATTTCAGTTCCTCTACAGTAGAACGAGAAATGCCAGCATAAAACAGATCATATTTGGAAGCATTTAATTTAAGGCCAGACATCTCATAAAAGGAATCAATGACAGAAATGACTCCAATGACAGAATCAATATTGTCTTTGCAGAAGATTAGGAGATCATCAACAAATGATAGTTGAGTAAAACCAATACGTTTGCATTTAGGGTGATAACCTATCAAACCTTTAATGGCAGCCAAGTTCAGTAGCTTTGAGAGAACATTAATAGAAATCACAAAGAGAAAAGGAGATAGAGGTTCTCCTTGTCTAATCCCTCTAGCTCCTTTGAAGTAACCAATGAGGCTCCTATTTAAGGAGATAGAGAAGCTTGCAGTGGAGTAGCAAGTTTTAATCCATGTGATGAAGAGCGAAGGAAACCAAAAGCTTTTAAAATAACATAGATGAAATTTCAGCTAAGAGAGTCGAAAGCTTTGTGGAGATCAATTTTCAAAGAGCAACGAGGAGAAATATTCTTCCTGTTATAACCTCTCACTAATTCTTGTGCCAGAAGAGTGTTGTCAACAATAGATCTTCCCTTAATAAACGCTGATTGGTTAAGAGTAACAAGATCAGGGAGAAGTCTGGTCATTCTTAACCAAGATTTTAGAAATGGCTTTATACACAACAGAGCAGCAATATATAGGTCTAAAGTCTTTGACCTTACTGGGATTAGGAATTATGGGAATTAATGCTATTGTGGTAGCATTAAAAGCTGGAAATAGGATCGATTCCCTAAAGAAAAATTTAATGGCAGCAGAGGTATCTTCTTCAATAATAGGCCAAGCTTTTTTAAAGAATAGAGGGGTGTACCCATCAGGGCCAGGAGCTTTGTCATTGTCTTGGCAGAAAAACCCCTGTTTGATTTCATCTTGAGAGATGTCTTTGATAAGTTCAGATGAGACATCAGCAGGCAGAGATGATTGGAGAAGGTCTTTGAGAATATTAGAGTCATCGAAGTTAACCAAAGGATCAGGGGTGCCGATAGAATTTTTGAAAAAATTGATCACCTCGGTAGACATGGCCTCAAAAGTCTTCAGTATGTTCCCATGTTCATCGATCAGAAGCCTAATGTTATCCTTTTTATTTTTCATGATAACCGCAGAATGGAAAAATTTATTGCATTTATCACCTTCTTGGATCCACTGAACCTTAGCTTTTTGCTTTAAGAACATAACTTCAGCTTTTTCAAGAGACTTTAAATCCTTTTGTAAGGGAATCTCTAATTTGTAACCAACTTCACCCTTGAGAGTTTTGATATGCTGATGTTCCAATTCAGTTTTCTTAAGTTTAACCCGAGCTTAAAGAAAAGTTTCTGCATCGGATTACCCTTAGTAGGACTGTGCCAAGAATGCTAAAAAATATTAAGAAAGTTTGTATGATGAGCCTAGAAGTTAAAGAACTTGAATGGTTTTGGTCTATTAGCTTGCACTTCTTTATGGATCCAGAGAAGAGCTATGCAGTGGTCTGAGATTCCTGGAGCCAGGAACTCAACATGGGAAGAATGATAGGAATTAACCCACTGATGATTAATGAGGACTCTATCAAGTTTTATGGCCAGAAAAGAATTTTGTTGTTTGTTGCTCCAAGAAAAGGTTGGGCCAAAAAAGGGGTGGTCAAAAATATCCAGTTCAGACAGGACTTCCTGAAAATCTCTCATATCGGATGAGGAAGAGGGACCAAGTAATTCAAAATCAGAAGACTCATTCGGATTTAAAATAATGTTAAAATCACCTCCTATAATCCAAGGCAGATGACCAATGTTTCTGCCCAAATCCCTTAATTACTGCCAAAGATGTCTTCTGTTTCTACCATCATTGCAACCATACAATGCAGTGATGAAAAAAGTCATACTAGAGTGGGTGCCTTTGATGGTGATACAATGATTGGAGGCATGGCAGAAAGTGAAGACAATGCCCTTTCTCCATAAGATCCAGATTCTACCGTTATGGGCATAGTCATAGTTTGTACAGACATTACAGTTAGCAAACTTGTTTTGAAGAATATTTGGAGATTTATTAACCTTTACTCTTGTTTCTAACAAACAAAGGACATCAATTTTATTTAAATTAGCTCTTCTAATAACACTAGCTTATTTAAGAGGACAATTTAGTCCCCTAATATTCTAGAATCCACAAATCATTGGGAAAGGGAAATAACAGAACCTCCACCTCTATCAACCTCTGAATTTTTTGCTTTGACTAACTTATCTTTCTTTTTCTATTTCAGGTCATTTACAATATTAGCTACTCCCAAGAAAGCTTGCCTAATTTTCTTTTGTTGGCCTTCTGGAACAGTAGGAATTTTATCAGCAACACTAAGAGCTGCAAATCTGTTGTTTGATTCAGAAAGACCTAATTTGGATTTATTCTTTACTGGTCTACCCCTACCCCTCTTAGAGTTAGAAGTTTGTTTGTTAATTGAACTTTCAACAGAGTGAACATCCTGAGCATAAGATGTTATAGCAATAACTGGATCAATTCCTCCACTAGGAACACAGATAGGATCAACTAAATCATGAAGTTTAACAACAAGATCATCAACAGAGGGTTTTATAACAACATCAGCAGTATCAACAGATTGTTTAACAGATTCAACAACTGTGGTCTGACAAAGGTTCAGACTCTTGAAGCAATTCAATGCCTCCAACAGATGTCTCAGGCACTGAAGAAGAGCTAGAGACTTCATTCTTTTTCCAAACAAGATGCTTAACATGAAGTTGATTTTTCAAAGAAATGCAGTTCTTCTCACTATGGCCGAAGACATTACATTTCCTATAAGAAATAGGGAACCAAGGCACCTCGACCACAACCGAGGTGGTTTTACAGTCCTTAAGACCAACCTCTACAAATTTGGGTATAATATCATTAACACCTATTTCAACACAGACTTTGGCAAATTCTAAATGGGATATGACAGCCGTTACAGAATCCATTGAGAGAGGAGACCCTATGGCGCTGGCAATAAAACTCAAACCATTTCTAGAGAATAATTCGAGTGGGACGTTAAAAAGATGAACCCAAACAAGAATACGAGAAAGATCGAATTGGAGCCTTTCCAAGTTGGGTTCCTATTTTCTAAGAATTAGGGGTTTGCTAAGGATATGCCCGGGTCTATTTTTAAGAACCCAATCCCTATTTAATTCAGAACAAAAGAGAAAACATAAAGGTTGTTTCCTGCAAAACTGACCTGCACTTTGTTGCCCCCAGTGCCCTCTTCCAAAGATTATCGACGATACGTTGCATTGAGGCGAAATTAGGTGTTGCGCCGAGAAATTGACCAACCAGAGACAACTTCCACTCTTCAATCCCAGCATCGAGCACCTCAGAAGGGGATGAACAGAGACAACCCCATCTCGAACCCTAGGCAGGTGAAAAACTAAATCATATCCCTCGGAACAACCAAACAACTTTCTCCAATCCATCAAGGAGAACAAAAAGAAGAGAACACCCAGAATAATTGATGAAAACAATAAGAAGAGAGACTTGAACGCCGACGAAACGGAAGAGATTTTTAGGATTCATTAGCCCGACTAATTTGCACCCAGAGAAAAATCTTATCTTGCGCCTTCGTTTCTTGTTTTCAATATATAATATCATCTCTCTCTCTTTTGTTTTGTCCATTGATGGGATGCTAGATTTTTACTAACCTCACATAAATAATCCATATTTATCCAAACCCAAATCTTTGGGTAATTCTGCGGTGCGGCGCCTAAAAAACGACTAATATACGGCGTGACCGGTTAAACAAGTGACCGGTTAAAATTTAGACCGGTTATGTTATATTATTTAACCGGAAATATTATAAAGTACAATAACATATTAGGTAGCGCTTATATAATGCAATAGGTAACGCTTATATTGACCTATTTTATAAGTAAACCGGTATATTTATACCGATAACATTGCAAATTTACCTATTACATTATAATATGTTGAAAGTGTCCATACTTTTTTATAAAAAGGATCGATACTTTTTTTAAAGTTATGTAATTTATATTTCAATTTTTTAATAGTGTTTCATGTTTTCCACCTACAATATTAATTTAATAATTTCATTTGCACAAAAAAAATTTGATTGTTTTGATATTTTATAAAATAATATTTAGAATTTAAATTTAACAATATTAACCAAAGATAATAATAAATATGTAATATATATGTTTATTGTTTTTAATTTAATGATAATATATACCGTAACATAAAAAATAAATCATTAGATAAATATAATTACTAAATTGATATCTTAAAACTCACTCAAAAGATAACCTTAAATTAATGTTTTCCACAGTGAAATAAGTATTGATACTTCTATAAAAAGGATAGATACTTTACAATATAAGCGCTACCTATTACATCATATTTTTACCTAATATATTGTAAAGTATCGATCCTTTTTATAAAAAGAATCGATACTTTTTTTAAAGTTATGTAATTTATGTTTCAAGTTTTTTAATAGTGTTTCATGTTTTCCACCTACAATATTAATTTAATAATTTCATTTACATAAAAAATTATTTGATTGTTTTGATATTTTATAAAATATTATTTAGAATTTAAATTTAACAATATTAACCAAAATAAAAATAAATATGTAATATATGTTTATTGTTTTTAATTTAATAATAATATATACCGTAACGTAAAAAATAAATCATTAGACGCCTATAATTACTAAATTAATATCTTAAAACTCACTCAAAAGATAACCTTAAATTAATGTTTTCCACAGTAAAAAAAGTATGGACACTTTTATAAAAAGGATAGATACTTTACAATATAAGCACTACCTATTACATTATATAAGCGCTACCTATTACATCATATTTTTACCTATTATATTGAAAGTGTCCATACTTTTATAAAAAGTCGATACTTTTTTTAAAGTTATGTAACTTATTTTTCAATTTTTTTTAATAGTGTTTCATGTTTTCCATCTACAATATTAATTTAATAATTTCATTTACATAAAAAATATTTGATTGTTTTGATATTTTATAAAATATTATTTAGAATTTAAATTTAACAATATTAACCAAAGATAATAATAAATATGAAATATATATGTTTATTGTTTTTAATTTAATAATATATATCGTAACGTAAAAAATAAATCATTAGACGCCTATAATTATTAAATTAATATCTTAAAACTCACTCAAAAGATAACCTTAAATTAATGTTTTCCACAGTGAAAAAATATTGACACTTTTATAAAAAGGATAGATACTTTACAATATAAGCACTACCTATTACATTATATAAACGCTACCTATTACATTATATAAGTGCTACTATTACATCATATTTTTACTTATTATATTGAAAGTGTCCATACTTTTTATAAAAAGGATCGATACTTTTTTTAAAGTTATGTAATTTATGTTTCAATTTTTTTAATAGTGTTTCATGTTTTCCACCTACAATATTAATTTAATAATTTCATTTACATAAAAAAATATTTGATTGTTTTATATTTTATAAAATATTATTTAGAATTTAAATTTAACAATATTAACCAAAGATAATAATAAATATGTAATATATATATTTATTGTTTTTAATTTAATAATAATATATACCGTAACGTAAAAAATAAATCATTAGACGCCTATAATTACTAAATTAATATCTTAAAACTCACTAAAAAGATAACCTTAAATTAATGTTTTCCACAGTGAAAAAAGTATGAACACTTTTATAAAAAGGATAGATACTTTACAATATAAGCACTACCTATAACATTATATAAACGCTACCTATTACATTATATAAGCGCTACCTATTACATCATATTTTTACCTATTATATTGAAAGTGTTCATACTTTTTATAAAAAGGATCGATATTTTTTTTTAAAGTTATGTAATTTATGTTTCAATTTTTTTAACAGTGTTTCATGTTTTCCACATACAATATTAATTTAATAATTTCATTTACACAAAAAATTATTTGATTGTTTTGATATTTTATAAAATATTATTTAGTATTTAAATTTAACAATATTAACCAAAGATAATAATAAATATGTAATATATATGTTTATTGTTTTTAATTTAATAATAATATATACCGTAACGTAAAAAATAAATCATTAGACGCCTATAATTACTAAATTAATATCTTAAAACTCACTCAAAAGATAACCTTAAATTAATGTTTTTCACAGTGAAAAAAATATGAACACTTTTATAAAAAGGATAGATACTTTTTATAAAAAGTATGGACACTTTCAATATAATAGGTAAAAATATGATGTAATAGGTAGCGCTTATATAATGTAATAGGTAGCGTTTATATAATGTAATAGGTAGTGCTTATATTGTAAAGTATCTATCCTTTTACATTATAATTATCGGTTTCGATATTTCATAAAGTGTCGAAACTTTTTATAAAAGTATCGACACTTTATGCTTGCACCTCGTTGGGCATTAATATTTCATTCTGGACAAAAATATCGACACAAACTAAAAAATTGTCGATACATGATTTAGACCTATTCTCTCATAAAACCGATATACTTGTACCGGTTAGATTGAAAAATTACCTATTACATTATACTTATGGGTTTCGATGTTTATCGGATCGACACTTTTTATATATGGATCGACACTTTATTGTTGCACCCTGTTTGCCATTCATTATAGACCAAAAATATCAACACAAACTACAAAAGTGTCGATACATTATTTAGACCTATTCTCTCATAAAATCGGTATACTTGTACCGGTTAGATTGAAAAATTACCTATTACATTATACTTATGGGTTTCGATGTTTATGGGATCGACACTTTTTATATATGGATCGACACTTTATTGTTGCACCCTGTTTGCCATTCATTCTGGACCAAAAATATCGACACAAACTAAAAAAGTGTCGATACATTATTTAGACCTATTCTCTCATAAAACAGGTATACTTGTACCGGTTAGATTGAAAAATTACCTATTACATTATATTTATGGGTTTCGATGTTTATCGGATCGACACTTTTTATATATGGATCGACACTTTATTGTTGCACCCTGTTTGCCATTCATTCTGGACCAAAAATATCGACACAAACTAAAAAAGTGTCGATACATTATTTAGACCTATTCTCTCATAAAACCGTTATACTTGTACCGGTTAGATTGAAAAATTACCTATTATATTATACTTATGGGTTTCGATGTTTATGGGATCGACACTTTTTATATATGGATCGACACTTTATTGTTGCACCCTGTTTGCCATTCATTCTGGACCAAAAATATCGACACAAACTAAAAAAGTGTTGATACATTATTTAGACCTATTCCCTCATAAAACCGGTATACTTGTACCGGTTAGATTGAAAAATTACCTATTACATTATACTTATGGGTTTCGATGTTTATCGGATCGATACTTTTTATATATGGATCGACACTTTATTGTTGCACCCTGTTTGCCATTCATTCTGACCAAAAATATCGATACAAAATACAAAAGTGTCGATACATTATTTAGACCTATTCTCTCATAAAACCGGTATACTTGTACCGATTAGATTGAAAAATTACCTATTACATTATACTTTTGGGTTTCGATGTTTATGGGATCGACACTTTTTATATATGGATCGACACTTTATGGTTGCACCTGTTTGCCATATTGTAAATTTGCCTTTTACTTTAAAGTGAATTTTGTAGTTATTGTACATACCCTCAATATATATGGAATGAGCATTCATTCTCGCACATGATGACAATTATGATGACATTTGGTATAATACAGACAACAATCTCCATATATCGTAAGTATCAACATGACCCTTAATGTGTATAAGAAACATGTACAACAACATAATGCTAACTTTTCTCATCTCATTCATAATTATATTCACATACAAAATTATAAATCGTATACAAAATTATAAATCTTATACAAAATTAACCCTACATTTACATCATTACATCCTTTTGTTATTCTTATGTATCATGGCAGCTTTTGTTATCTCCTGTCTTCGTTGATTTTGATTGTGGCTTACGAGATCGTTTAATATTCGCGATCGATCCCACTCTCCAACAACCTATATTCAAATTGTCAGAACGTTAAGTATTGTAAACTACAGCATTCAATCTACGACTTTTAACAATTTTACCACAAACGAATTTTTCTTTCCACTTACAAAATCACCAGTTGCCCCTGTAGAACCGATCGATTCCATCCACATCATCACATACATGCCGCAGTCATGTCTGTTACAAAATTTGAAAACCACACATATCAATTATGATGAATACTGCATAAATTAAGCTTTCTATTTGTGATAACATCTCATACCCATTCAATTGCTTATTCTTCTTATGCTCCACAAATTTGAAATTTTTCAAGGGATACTTTCCTAGAGATCCACAGGATTCAACCCAAATGCGTTTCTTATTATAAACATCTAATATTTTAATCTGCATTAAAATAGAAGATGTTATGATCCAAAAAAATTATGCATTATAATTTACATAATGTCCTTTCATACATACATACATACCAATCTCTTAGCATACTTCACTCTCTGTTTAGCTGCTTCAGTTGTAAACATACTATCATATATTGTTGCAACACGATCTACCATATCCAACACCAACATATACCAATGTGAATTATGGTAGTTTATTGTGATAATGATCTGCAACAAATTTCACACCCAATTTGACAAAATTCAACATTCTATATCCGAAAACATCATTTGCAATTGGTATGGTGTCTTACCTTCTCACAGTCGGTGATTTTCACATAGTTATTCAATATGGGACCCCATAAGGTAGCAATACTCTCAACACTTTCTTCGTTGTTGGCATCCAACGCCTGCTGCTGCAATTACGCAACAAACATTATTAATTTACCGTCTATAACACTACTTATCTCCATTTATTAATTTAACTCACCGCTAAGTGGTATGGAAGGTAGCCAATCCTCCGGAGTGACTTCTGAGAATCGTAGCATACTGTCCAGGCGAGCAAATCAATAACCTAACAAAATTAATTACACAATCAGAACATATTCAATAAGTTTTAACATTTTCTACTTTCTACTTACCACACCACCAACCCATTCCGTAGGCTTCAACGTTGCAACGTCGTATACACTAGCAAATTGATTTCCCATTGAGATTACAGAATATGTATGGATCATTAGGATTAATATGTTGTCGTGAAATATTTAAATATAACTCACAAAGTAATATATTTCACTTACTCCGATTTTAACTCACTATTCCATAAATAATCACAAATTGCAGCTTCGATGTCATCAATTCCGCTTGGAATATCCGCTTTTTCAACCTACAATTTTGCATACAAAATTTTGTCACAACAACATAATAAAAATCAAATTAAGTTTTCTTTTATTCAACTTAACTTCTGCTTCTTCTTCTGGGGTGCAGGACATTCCGAATCCAAATCTGCTGCTATAACACTCTCCGGTGTATAAATGACATCGACTTCCTTCCTCCTCATTTCTTCCATCTCTTCTTCTTCCTCCTCCCTCTTTTCTTCTTCATATTTTTTCAGTTCATCGTATTTTTTTCTACATAGCTCTTCATCTCTTTTATTTCACCCTTCAATTGATATCCTTCATCCAAGTATTTATCAACCACCCCCTTCACCCCAAATAAGTCCACTCCTCAATTCCACAACCTCCTTCACCACTCCCTCAAATTTTCACCCGTCACCATCTTAATATCACCCTTAACACCCCAACTTCTTTCACCACTTCACCCCTCAACACCTCTACTTCTTTCACCACTCCATCTATTTTTCCTTCCACTACCCCCTTATGCCTCTCAAGTGTATCTTCGACTCTCTCAAGTTTCTCTTCGACTCTATCAAGTTTCTCTTCGACTCTTGATTGTCTTTGCATGATATCAAATTGGATTTTTTTGATATCAGCCAATTCAGACATCAAAATGTCGAAGTTACTATGTTTTCCCTCACCGTCGTCCCACTCACCGTCATCCCCCAATACAACAATCTCTCATTTCTTCTCCTCTGCCTCCACTGCCTCATCTACATCCTTGCCAATAACCTTTAAAATTAAATTACAATATTAAGACATTGATTATATTCTTAATATTATTTAATTACATTTATTACCCTTTCTTGCTTCTTCGCTCTATCCAACTTCAACTTCACAATCACTCTAATCACCTCTTCCTTCCCCCATGCACGGATGCGTACCACTCCGGTTCTTTCATAAGCCGGCACTGCCTCACAGCCCGACCAAAAATCGAACAGTGCAACCTGCATGTATAATAAAATTTATATTTTTATATAAAAACACAAAAAAGTTCTTCAACTCATTTACCTCTAAGATTGCTATGCACCATTTGAGGTATCTCTGGCTGCCCTTTTTAAATGTGATTATTGATTCAATCAATCTCGAATAGATATATTCAGCCCAATTGAATTCACCATTCAAGCCTTCATCGTAAATGAGCTTCATATGTTCCTTGTTCGTTGACGTATGACCCATTGGACAAAGAAAGATACCGACAAGGTATAATAGAACTCCGGCCTTCAGCTCATCCCCAACGTAAGATCCACTTTTTATTTCTTCTTCAATTTCAGCATATGTCACCTTCTGCTTCAAACCATATTTGAGGCAAGTGCTTTCCAGTCCTTACTCTTACAGACTTCTACAACACTTTTGCCTTCATTTTCTACCCCCAATACGGCTGCAGCACATGAGATCCCGAGAGGAAATGAAAAATCACCATACTTAGCAATACATTGTCTGACATCAAATTGCGCCATCAAGGATCGACACAATTCCCTCCGAATAGGTCGATCCCTTACTCCTACCAACGATCCAAAACCTATTTCTCCCAGCACATTCAACTGACCCTTCTCCTTAAGGTGTTTAATTAATGAATTCACCCTTTTAATGCTGCATCTTGTCGACACTTCCTACATTTTTTAACAATATATAATGTTATAGTTCTTATATATTTTGTATCAACGTATTTACAAGTTTAATGAATACCTTATTTTCATGCGCTTTCCTCCGTTCTTTGTATTCTTTACTATCATTCCTTGACTGTGTGATGTAAGGTTCCCTTTCAGCATCACTCATTGAATTCCATTTGGACCTCACATATTTTGTCACCTAATATTAAACATAAACGTTTCTTAATCAATACATTAACACTAAATACTACTCAATGACAATTTCATTTTACATACCGAACCGCTCTGTTTGCCATATTCCTTCATCCTTTTGCATTCGGTCATACTGTCAACATTTAAAATTTGTAATCAATTTAAAGTTTATCGATACTTTAATCCAATTACCATTTCAACAATAATAACTAAAAGACATTGATACTTACTAGAAGTACATATATCCACCCTTTGGTTGCTTTCGAGTCTCGGCCTCAATTTCAAAGTCATCTGCGCCACCAACAATTTTCCAACCCATTGACTCCATTTTTCCTTCATATATCAGTTTACGCAAATCAAATTATTTTGTTACATACACTTTATTCAATATACAAATATAGATAACTACTATTGTGGTAAAATGGTTTTCTTCAAAAGAATTTGAATGGCCACTACAAAATGTGTCGGCACATTTATACAACCTATAATATCATTTTCTACCTATAATATTTAATAAAAGTATCGACATTTATATTTTACCTTCAATATCACTTTCTACATGCAATCGGTCCAAATGCTTATTTACTCCAAAACCCCAAACAACAACACATAAAAACCCTATTCGCGATTACTGTAATAATAAAAAAATTAAGGTTTCGACAACATACTTTTCGATTCGACTGCATCAACAAACAAACAAACATCGCTTTAGAAACGCCTTCTGAAATGCAGCAACAATTACGCTTCGATTTCAAAAACTCGTCCATTCTATCGATTTTCAGAGTATATTTAGATATGACCTTTATATTTTCATCGGATATGTTATTTATATTTAATCTATACAAATACAAAAGTGTCGATACTTTTATGTCAGGTGTCGATACTTTCGAAAGGATATTTACCTATTTCTTTGAAAGTGTCGATAATTTATTACACGTACTTACGAAAGTATCGACACTTTCAATATATCCGGTATCGTTTTACCGGTTTTATCATTTTGATACCGGTTTTATATATTTTTACCTGTTATATCGTTGTGGATCGATATATTTTTTTAAAGTATCGACACATTATAAGCGCTAAAACTGCTTCTCTTTTAAATTCACAAAGTGTCGATCCTTATATAAAGTATCGACACTTTCAATATATCCGGTAACGTTTTACCAGTTTTATCATTTTGATACCGGTTTTATCATATTTTTACATGGTATATCGTTTTGGATCGATACATTTTTTAAAAGTATCGACACTTTATAGGATTTAAAACTGTTTCTCTTTTAAATTCACGAAGTGTCGATCATTATATTAAAGTACCGACACTTTAAATGTATCCGGTAGCGTTTTACCGGTTTTATTATTTCAATACCGTTTTTGTCATAGTTTTACCTGTTATATCGTTTTGGATCGACACATTTTTAATTTGGATCGACACGAATCGACAAGTTAAGTTTGTCGGTTGCACAATTTTTAATATTTCTTCATGACTTAGACCTACTACATTATTATTAGTCAACATTTCCGGTAGCGCTAAACCAAATTTATTAAATATCTTTTAATATATCCGATAACACCGTATATTAGCAGTATATTAACCGGCCTTTCCTCAATCCCCAAATCTTTACGATCTTTTTTTTCTCTTTACATATAATTTCCCAGTTTTATTTTCATTTGGGATGGCATCTTCATCATTAGCAAACCCGCTATGCACTTGGTTGGCGGCGGCTTGTGTGTCGGTAACTTACGGGAAAGACCAGTCAATGTCACCATTGTTATCAGGCTCGGCTTCTTCCAATAGTAGGCTCGGCCGTTGGGCTCGTAACAGAAGGAAGTCCCTACTTTCTAAATGCTGCGGCGGCAGCGGCAGCGGCTCAGCCACTAATAAAGACGGGGTCTTGATTTCTTCTTTTCGTGGATCCAGCATTCAAGGGATGATGGCTTCCTCCTTGCCTTTCGAGCCTTGTAATGAGTACTATTCCTCCAAAAATGGTAGTTTTTTCGGTCAAAATGGAACCGTTTCTTCTCTCTTTGGCTCCGGAAACGCTCACTTCAATAATAATCGCAAGCAAAGAAGATTCAATCGAGGAGCTGTTCGTTCTGGTAAACTTTAGCTGATTGGTTTTCTGGAATTAGAAATACAACGTTGCTTTTTGCTGCCTTTTCGAATCTGGGTTCTTTTTATTTTTTTACTGGTTTTCGTTTCTTTAATATCTTTATTTGCCTTGAATTTGACACTTTTTAGCGAACTATGCCCCCCCCCCCCGTTCTTTACTTTCTTGGTTCAAAGCAAGTACGTGAATGAAAATATAGAGAGATAATTTGTCTTCCATAATCTGGGACCTTAATCATAACTTAGTGAGATACACCAACAACTTTTTGTTTGAAACAAAACTAAGAACTAGAACTGTAGTTGATTTTAAGTTACTATTAAGCCTATGATCATGGAAAATCATTATGTTCTCAGATAGTCCGAATTTAAAACAAGTGCACATTTTTATTATAAATATCATTGATTTTTCTCTCTCTTCCCTGCCTTATGTCTTTATATCTATGAAGTTGGTGTAGGTTGGTAGAATTTATTGTCTTGGCTTCATGAGCATCCTATAATAATGTTTTCAATTTTCATGGGGTTGCTTGCTGCCTCATTCTAATATAAAATAGGAAAACGTTTGTTTTGCATACTAATATTTTGGGGTTTTCTATGTATATGAGATTGTTTATGTGTTTATATTATCTACTAATTGGTGGGGACATAGAAAATAAAATTTCTTCCGTCACAGAATATCATACAACTTACTGGTTAAATTACGTTTGTTCTGCTGGTTAATTTGTTTAAAAACTTAGGAGAAGCCATGGCTATAGCTGTGCAACCCACAAGAGAAATTGCAACAAAGAAGAAACCTCCTGTTAAGCAGAGACGAGTCGTCGTGACCGGGATGGGAGTGGTAACTCCTCTTGGACATGAGCCTGATGTCTTCTATAACAATCTGCTTGAGGGTGTAAGTGGTATAAGTGAAATCGAGACCTTTGACTGTGCTGAGTTTCCGACTGTAAGTTGTGTTGTGATCTCTCTCATCTTGCTCTTGTTTGTACTCGTGCTTGTTCTTAGTGTCCCTGTTTTCTCTTCAGAGAATTGCTGGAGAGATCAAATCGTTCTCAACCGATGGATGGATCGCACCAAAGCTTTCCAAGAGGATGGACAAGTTCATGCTTTATTCGCTTACTGCGGGAAAGAAAGCCTTGCAAGATGGTGGGGTAACTGAAGATGTAATGGATGAGTTAGATAAAGCGAAATGCGGAGTTTTGATTGGTTCAGCAATGGGTGGCATGAAGGTAAGTTCTTCTGCTTGTAGTTTTGCAAGAATAAAGAAAAGTGTTGGGATTTGCAGAAGCTCGAATCGACAATCGGAACGGCTTGCAAAGATGGGCCGGAACGGTTTTTGTGTTTAGAGAGTAAGGAGATTGAAAGATAGAAAATTGCGAAGCGATTTATAGTGGTTCGACTTCTCAACCAAGTCTACATCCACTGTCTTAGCTCCTTACTAAATATTTTCTAACAAATTCAATAATTTGTTCTTTCTTTTTAAGGATAAAGAGATAACCTTTACAACTCCCTAGTTTTTCACGTGATAAACTATAACATTTCCCTAGCTTTTATACGGGCTTAATTAGAACATTTCTCCTTTACAAAAGGATAAAAGAAGTAAACAAATAAACCTCTCAAAGGTAGGTGTTTACAAGAATTAAGTTACTAGAACAATATATTTACAAGACAAAGATAAAATAAGATTGAAAAACTCTCCTCTTGTGTTTGATTACTTGGATAGTTGTTCTTTTCTTTCTTCTAGTGTCCTCAGTTTGTATTTATAGCTTGAAATGTGTTTGAAGTCGTATCTAGCCGTTAGAGATGTTTTGGAGCCGTTTGGGGATGATTTTTCTACAAAAATAGGCTGTCCATAACAGGGGTATCGATATTACCTTTGTTAAATTCAAATTAAACTAGCCGTTATTAGCCGTTGCAGCCAAGGGTATCGATACTTGCATTCGGTGTTTGAGCAGTCATAGGGTATGGATACCTTTTGAAGGAGTATCGGTACTCATTTGCATTTTTGCTCAAATTCGAAATGGACTTTAAATTATTTTTAAAACATTTTTAAAAATTTGAATAAATTCAATTTAAATCTAAAAACATTTTGCCTTAAATTTGTTATACAGAAACATAATTCAACAAAAAGTGTCATGGTTCATAACAAAAAGCATGGGGGTTTCGTGAATCAGGATTAAGGAAGAGACTGTTTTGCAGTATAGTTTTCTTTGTGTATCTATTGGTTCATTTAAGTTGTTTGTCGTGGAATGAACAGGTTTTCAACGATGCAATTGAAGCTTTGAGGATCTCATACAGGAAGATGAACCCTTTTTGCGTACCGTTTGCTACAACAAATATGGGTTCTGCAATGCTTGCAATGGATTTGGTTAGCTTAACTTCGGATTCCGCAATGTTATGATAGACCTAGATGGATGGTGAAATTTGGACTTTTGAGCTTTAAATTTATACCCGCATGATTTCTTTAGGGATGGATGGGTCCTAATTATTCTATCTCCACGGCATGTGCAACAAGCAACTATTGTATATTAAATGCAGCAAATCACATCATCAGAGGTGAAGCTGTAAGTTGAGCAAAGATGAACATCCTATGTATCATGGTATAAATGATTGTACTTTATCTGATGCATTTGAAACAAAATTGCAGGATATGATGCTTTGTGGAGGATCGGATGCAGCAATTATACCCATTGGTATCTTGTTCTCGCTTTCTTATTAGACATTGTTTTGTAAATTTTCCACTTGTTACAGCAGGTAATACTATATTGTCGTTTAGGTTTGGGAGGATTTGTGGCATGTAGAGCGCTCTCTCAGAGGAACAGCGATCCTTCCAAAGCTTCACGTCCTTGGGATGCTGTAATGTTTCGATAACTCTCGAGCTTCATGGCCATCATTTTTCCTTTTCCTTTTGCTTTTTTTCTCCAAGATCTAGAACAACAGCAGTAAAACTGATAAACCGATAATGCGTTATTGAATTAAACTTGGTGGAAACTAATCTAATAAAAAGAGTAAGCAATATGCTTACCTTTTAGTAGTGAGATTTACCACAATTGTTGACATGTCTTATCAACTCTTTCGGGACACAACTCAGGTATGAGTAAGATATGCATGTGCAGGTGGTAATTTCGATAAAGTTACTCTATATATTTATCGAGCATTTTCTCATAGCGGTACTAAATTTTCCAGAGTCGTGATGGATTTGTCATGGGGGAAGGTGCTGGGGTTCTTCTTTTAGAAGAGTTGGAGCATGCTAAGGTACATGGTGTTTGACCTTACGAATCCATGTTGTAAGCCATAGGTTTGTGCTTAGTTTGCTTTGTATAAGAGAAAATTGCTGAGTTTAGGTTTCTGATTTTGAAGAGGAGAGGTGCGACTATCTATGCCGAATTCCTCGGTGGAAGTTTCACTTGTGATGCTTATCACATGACTGAGCCTCACCCCTACGGTAATGTGCCACACCTCTATTCCTGCAGTTCTGTCTTCTTGAATCCTGGTTCTATGTTCTAAACATGGACCTTGAAACATAATTCGTCCCCTTAATTGGCTGCTCGTAGATTAAACTAACATCGGTCTTGTGAAATCTAAAAATAGGTGTTGGTGTCATTCTCTGCATCGAAAAGGCTTTGGCTCATGCCGGAGTATCTAGAGGAGATGTAAACTATATCAATGCCCATGCTACATCAACGCCAGCTGGAGACATTAAAGAGTACCAAGCACTTCTTCATTGTTTTGGAGACAATCCCGAGGTACTTTCACATAGTTTTCTCTAATGCCTGGATCTTAATGCATAATATGTTTCCCAAACTTCTGCGTTGTGAATATTGTTAAGATCTTCATCATTTGCAGTTAAGAGTGAACTCTACAAAGTCGATGATTGGTCACCTATTGGGAGCTTCTGGTGCTGTGGAAGCTGTGGCAACAGTACAGGTTTGTTGTTTTGAGTTTTATAATGTTGGTTGGATTTAGGAAACATCGAAATGGTAATAATGTCTACTTATAGGCGATACGTACTGGTTGGGTTCATCCAAATATCAACCTGGAAAACCCGGATGAAGGAGTGGTATGTTTTCTTCTTCACTCCTTTTCCTTATCATTCATTTGTGCTTTGCAGTAGTTTTTGTTTCTTGATATGTACTTATAATTCTTTTTCCCTCTGTTTTCTGATGACGCGGTTCGATTTTTTTGCCACATCTATTCAGGACACAAGTGTACTCATGGGACCTAAGAAAGAAAGATTGAATGTTAAGGCAGCACTGTCAAATTCTTTCGGGTTTGGCGGGCATAACTCATCCATCATTTTCGCCCCGTACGAGTAAAGTAGTTCAACCATTGCTCTTCCAATCTTTTTGTGTAGACAAAGCATGACTTAGAAAGACGTATCACGACGTATGGTGGCCGGTAGCGGGGCTATAGGAAAAAAAAGCCTGTTATGGCTGAATGTAAGGTGGAAGGACATTTCGTATGGTTCGGTGTTGTTCAGAAGGTTTCATTTGTAGCTACGATGGAGAGTTTTAGTGCTTCAGGGCCATTGAAAAACCACTAAAGCAGTAAATGTATCGTAATTTGTGGTTAATGTAACAAGAAAAATAGTTGCTTTTGATTCAGCCAATTTGCAATGAACCTTTGATCAGCAGATGTCCGTAGCCAAATTGTAAGTTTTTAAACTATGAAATAGTCGAATTTTAGTTTGATTGGAACATTTTAGAGAGGATTTGGGTGAGATTATTAGTTAGTACATGATACTTTAATGATAGAATTGTAATTTAATACTTGCAAAATAGGTTCGCAAACATTTTTCAGTACTAACTAATATTTAGTTATAGATGGGTTCTTGTACATGAAGGGTTTTTATGGTTAAATTAAAATTGATTGTTATTATAAGATAATATATATTTAAAATATTTTTTTAATCATTGATAATGTGTATATAACTTGCATATGTAACAACTCGTACTCGAGATCTTTCACTTGTTTTTGTTTATGAGGTCACTTAATAAATTTGTATTGTTTTATTTATTGGATAAATACCTAATTGTGATGTGATTAATGAAAGATTAATCTGTTGAGATAAAACTTGTTATTAATGTGATGAGATATATGGTTGGTTGGAATGGACTCCCACAGGCCACAGCTCCGTTTTCCTAAGGCTTTATTGTATTCTTCTATCAGATGATGTGATATGAAAGAGGACAAAGTTCCCAATCAAGTCTTTATGTCATTCTTTGATATAAAAGTTGAATTCTGTGTGGTGGTTCCTTTGATATCACTGCTGCGTGATTCTTCTTCACTAATCTGTAATACGATGAGCATGCAAATATCTTCATCTGCAAAAGATATCTGCTAAACAAGTTTGCATGATACAGGATCTTGTTCACATGCTAACCAAATGCAGTGTAGTTGGTTTTTTCAAACTCAATAATTCAAGCTCACTTTCCCTACTTATCAACAATAGAAATCACCTGTTGCTTTTTCATTCCCCTTCCCATTCTCTCAGTCTAAAATATTGACAGTCTTTGTTTTATGGCTTAATATAAAAATAATTATTCAAAATATTTTTTTATTTAGATACTTAAATTATTTTGCGATCAATTCAAATTTCTAACATTACAAACATTATTATTTTAATTGTTTTATTCGTAACAATAGTTATATAGTTATAAATTTATATTAAGTGACGAATGTTATATTTATATAATTTTAAAAATTTTATTTAAAAAATCTTAAAATATTATTATTTTTCTAAAAACAACCTTAAATTCTTTTAAAATATAAAAAACACCCTCTAAAATTGCTAAAATATCAGAAACCCCCTAAATTTTCTAAACACCCAATACTTGCTGACCATTCCTTGCAGCCCGCAACCATCGCCCCCTAAATTCTTTTAAAATATCAAAAACACCCTCTAAAATTTATAAAATATCAGAAACTCCCTAAATTTTGTAAACACCCAATACTTGCTGACCATTCCTTGCCGTCCGCCCCCATCGCCCCCAAAATCTCTACTCATCAGTCATCGTCATTTGATATACGCAAGCTGTTTGGTGACTTAAATCCACGCAAAATACATTTGCTTGGTGGCTCATATCAAGGTAAAATACACAAATGCACTAATTATTTTACGGCCGGATGAAGTCGATTAGAATTAAGATTAGAAATTAGGGTTTTGTCTATTTGGGATTTTATATATTTAGGGGTTTGCCGTTGAGAGACTTCTGATGTTTATATTTTAATATAATAGAAAAAAAAAGCGCTCAAACTACGGTCTAAGTTAACTTTAAGTGTTTAACGTTTTTAACGTTAACGTTTTTTATATGCATACGCAATAATAACAATTAAAAAATATTAAATGACACGTCATGTTTATACTTTTTGAAATTTTCATCTTTTTAAAAAAGCTTAATAATATTATATTATTAAAATTATTAATAAAAATATTTTAATAATTAGAGTTAATTGTATCATATTCCCTAAACTATAATCTTCACTTTAAATTGATCCTTAAACTTTTGAATATTCCAATTTCATTCACAAACTGTGACTCATTTTAAATTAGTCCTTAAACTTTTAAAAATTTCAATTTCATCCTAAACTATGGCCCTCTTTCTAAATTGTCCCCAAAGTTTTTTAACATCTCAATTTCATCCCCAAATCCATTCATATGTGTAATTAGTTTCAAAAATAATTAACCTAAATTTTTTTTCTCAAGCATATAATGATATAACTTGGCCTAACGATTTTATTAACAAGTGATGTGATTAATATATATGTATACTTTGGGCGTGAAATTAGAGTGTTCAAAAAGTTTAGGAACCAATTTAGAATGAATTTCATAGTTTGGGGATGAAATTGAAGTGCTTAAAAGTTTGAGCACTAATTTAGAATGATAGTCATAGTTTAGGATAAATTTGGAACATTTAAAAGTTTATGGATCAATTTAAAATGAGGGTCATACTTTGAGGACATATGATGTGATTAACTCTAATAATTAATATTTTTATTAAAATATACTTTGAGAACATTTAAAACTTAAAGAAAATGACTTACAAAAAAGTAGATAGTAAATCATTTTTCAGGAAATATAAAGGAAACTTTGTTGACTAGAAAAATGAATTACATTAATCAATGTGTTTTAAAATGTGAATTACATTAAAACAAACAAACAAACCTTAAGTTTGAGTTCAAATTCAAATTAAGAATTTTTAAACCAATTAAAATAAATTAAAAGTAAACAATTTTGTTTTATATTCATTAATTATTTGAGTTAAGCTTTTAGTTATAATGATAAAATGATTTTGTTTTGTTTTATATTGATTAAAAAATAAAAAATATATATATATATATTAATATTACAGAATATGTTTTTCACTTGATTTAAATTATTTATTATGTTGACTTTTAATTTTAATATGATTAAAGTTTAAAATAAATTTCAAAATAGAGTAAGTATACTGGTTGGACAAATTATTTATCTTTCTTATCTTATGTTATGGATTCTAGACTTATAAGGAAAGTCCTCTCTTTTCCTCCACTCTAAATAGAATTAAAATAGGTTTAAAATTTATAAAATTATAAATTCCAAATCATAAAAATTTTAAATAAATTCCAAAACATAAATTATAATTTAAACGGAACCAAAAGAAGGAAAAACAAGAAACCTTATTTACCTTAAAACAAATAAAATTTAAAAAAATTAATTAAAATAAACACGTGTCAATGTTTTAGATTAAGAGGCCGGGGTAGGGGATTTCTATGCCGACATTGGCTAATGTGATAACTCCTAATAATTAGAGGAGATGATTTTCCAAACTCTCAGCTTCGCGTGCTTCTGAAACAGGACCTCATGCGATTATAAATGCATGCAAATTCTTATATGTTTTCATCGACTTTCACGTCATTCCTCAAACTCTAAATGGCTCATCATTGTGAAAGCACTTCCCTAGTAATCTCAAACTCAAAAATTGCTATTATCGGAGCTGGATTTAGTGGTATTGCGGCAGCTAAACAATTATGTCACCATAACCCCATTGTTTTCGAGGCCTCAGATTCCATAGGAGGGGTATGGAAAAGCTGTGCTTATAATTCTACTAAACTCCAATCCACTCGTAAGAATTATGAGTTTGCAGAATTCCCATGGCCGAATCGAGACGACCCAACTTTGCCTTCTAAGCTTGATGTTTTGGATTACTTGGAATCATATGCTAAACACTTTGATGTGTTGAAGTTCATCAAGTTCAATTCAAAGGTGGTTGAGCTCCGATTTTTCGGTTGCTCGGAAACAACTGAGTTGTTCGGAAATGCAGGGTACTATTGGAATCGTCCATTGCTAGGCCAACCCGTTTGGGAGATTGCGGTGCAAACTAACGATTCAAACTGCCTTAAGGTCATTGCTTTCAATCTGCATACAGGTTTCTTTTGCATTAAAAGCATATGAACTGACTTTGACAAGGAGATAAAAAATAATATATATTTTTTCTGTTGGCCTTTATTTGCAGTGGTATGCCTTTGAATTTGTCGTTGTGTGCATTGGACAATACGGAGACATACCCAAAATCCCAAAATTCCTAAACAACAAAGGCCCTGAGATTTTTGAAGGGAAAGGGAAAGTACTTCATACCATTGATTACTGTAAGCTGAACAAGGATGCTGCTTCTCAGCTACTTAAGGGGAAGAAGGTTGTAGTTGTTGGCTATAAAAAATCAGCCATTGATTTAGTTGTTGAGTGTGCACAAGCAAATCAAGGTAACTTTCCATTAATCTATTTGAACTTTGCAGATTCAATACTCCTCTGCTGATGTTAAGTAATTTGTTTGCATGAAGGAGACGAAGGGCAGCCATGCACCATGGTGGTAAGGACACCTCATTGGGTTGCTCCACATCATTGGCTCTTCGGTTTGCTTTTCTTCATCTTCTACACTACACGATCGTCCGAGTTACTCCGTAAAAGACCTAACCAAACCGTTTTCAGGACCCTCCTTTGCTACCTCTTATCTCCGGTGGTAAGCCGAACATTTCTTAGATCAGTTCAGACAATTTTCTTTCTTGCCATGCCTTAATGTTTGTATTTATCCGACAGAGGCGTGGGGTTTCCAAGTTCATGGAGTCCTTCTTGCTATGGAAACTTCCATTAAACAAGTACGGACTGAAACCGGACCATCGATTTGAGGAAGACATCGCATCGTGTATGCTAGCCACCGTGCCGGAAGATTTCTTCGCCGAGGCTAATAAGGGAAACATTGTTTTCAAAAGAGCTGCCGAATGGTGGTTCTGGAAAGAAGGAATCGAGTTCACTGACAAAACTAAAATGAAGGCCGATGTTGTAATTCTCGCAACCGGATACGATGGAATGAAGAAACTTAAAACAATCTTACCCGAGCCGTTCTGTAGCATGATCGAATATCCGTATGGGATGATGGCCTTGTATAGGTATGTTCGATAAATCTGTATGATTTTATGATACTTGATCCGGCAGCTGATGATACTTATTTCAGGCACACGATCCACCCTTTGATACCGAAAATGGCGTTTGTAGGGTACATTGAAAGCGTTTCGAACGTGGGAGCATCGGAGCTCCGTAGTATATGGCTTGCACGACTTATCGATGAAAAATTTAAGCTCCCGAGTGCCGAAAACATGGTGGAGAAAACGTTGAGAGAGATGGAGTTTATGAGGAAGACAATTAGGTTTTACCAGAGGCCTTGCATTTCAACGTTCGAGATCAACGAGACTGATCAAATCTGTGAAGAAATGCGATGGTTATCAAAAGCAAGCAGGCAGGATTATAGTCAGAAAAATTAATAAAAATTCTCAAAGACAAATCAGCTATAGAATAAGTGTATTTAATGTGTGATACGTTTTAGTGTTGATTTCAAGTTATGGAGATGCTGATTTGGACTGTCTTGCTAATTAGTGTCAGTAATGCTCAAGGGATTTGAACTATTCGTTATAAATAAATAGCTCGCTCGTCCCCTGCGGATATTAGGGTTAATGGTCTGTTTATTGTTCTTGATTTTCTTTCAATATTTCTACGCTTCTTTATGTAGAGTCGGTATGGTAATTAAAGGCGCAACTATATGGGATTAGAGGTGACATGACACGGCCTAATCAGCGTTACGCCTGTGAACGACCAACGAATGATTTTTATTGGTTAAAAAATTATATTCTGATTAATTTATTAAGTTTAACATTTTAATTAATTATAAAAACTCATATATACTGATTTATTCAACATTTTAAATTCCTTCTCAAATTGGTTGTCAAAATTCACTACTATAATTTCATTTTAATTTTCCTAGAAGAAATTCAACAAAAAATTAATAAAAATGTGTTATATCTATATTTATTCCATAAAATTATATATGAATATACATGATTTAATACATAAGATTAATATTAAAATTGTTTTCAATAATTGATCATCAAAATAAAATATACGTTTCCAATGATAATCACATGTCAACATCTCCCATTTTTCAACTTATCTTTGAGCTGTCATTGGGAAGTTCTACTGTACAACACCTTAATACACGGCTAAAATAAGACGCTATCGATTTTGTTATTGTTTAAATAATAAAATCGGTAAAATTTACCTAAATTATTATTATTTTTACCTAAAACATCATTTTTTAAATATATTCGGTCATTTTTAGCGCCTAATAATATTTTCGGTTATTTTTTAGCGCTTAATAATATTTCTGGTCATTTTCGGTCATTTTTACCGGTTTTGTTATTTAAACAATAACTAAACTGATAAAAAAAAATTTAAACCGTATATTAAGACTGCCGCACGTAAACGTTTCCCGTCATGGCCTAGGACTCCACCAACCCCACAATCCCTGTATAAAAATCAGCTTGTTTTATTAAAAACATAATAATAATTATAATGAAGATTTATAATTATATTTGTAAACTAAACATATAATTATGATATGATGTTTTTCCTATAAATATTAATAAAAAAGTTAATCATTTGAGGTCATACAAAGACTATATAAGAAAAATATTAAAATCTAATCAAAATCTCGAACAAAAGATATATACGAACAAATTTAATTGCATTGACAAACGAACCACAAAAGGAGATAAAATTATTGAAAGACTACTGAAAAACCACAAATCAAAGTCGATCGATGTGAGAAAACTAACCACGAACACAACCTATGTATCGAAATACAATTCGAGAGTACAAAATGGGAAAGATCAAAATAATAAAAAATAAACATCATATTAATCGGTCGATGTAATGTAAAAAAACAATCATATAAAAAGATAAATGAAAATAATAATCAAATAACCGATAATATATCAAAAGACAAAAGAAAACATATTATGAAGGTAAAAAATCGTACCATAAAAGTAGAATCATTAAAAATTAATATGTAAGAGAAAAATAAAGATATAATATAAAAATTAGAAAGAAAAACAATAAATACAAACAATCAATAACTAATATTAAGACTAGTACATCTCTTATGAATAAAGATAAAATACAAACGATTAGATAGAAACCTATAAATTAACTATTTAAAATACGTTATTATTACTTTTTTTTTCAAACTCCAAATCTAATTCCCTAGCCAATTTTCACAAAAATCCATCTTTTTATTTTGAAAACCCTTCTTTAGTCATATCAAACCTAGAAAATATAGCAAATATAAAATTACATCGGTAAATAAGAAATTTGTTAGAAGTACGAGCGTTCGTTGTCAAAAAGGTGGAAAGACTTTAAACAAATACAATCTTGTATTCACCTTAAATTTATTCAAAACAAAAACAAATAAAACTTACAAAATATATTTTTAATCACGTTATCTATAATTATTTATTAAATAATTTATAAAAATATTTTCTACATAAAACATTTACATTTACCGAGATAGTAGAAATGATGAAAATTAATGATATGAGGTTTTTATATAATTGGAAAATTTTGATGATCAGCAATATAGGAATGATGAAAATAATTTTAAACTTCATTTATATTTGTGGGAATGACAAATTAATTTAACATTATTAAAAGGAACAAATATGATTTATTTCATAAAATAATAAACTAGATAAAATAAAACTTTTAATGCATGTAATATAAATCAGGTAAAGAAGAAAAGTAAAAGTAATCATATAGAAAGTCCTTCATTTTCTTTATCAGAACAATGCTAGATTCACCAATATTAAACTATGTTGATAATTGAACGTAGAATTTATATAGAATTCGCATACCTTGAAGAGCCAGCAAATTTGAAATGATGAGAGATTTTACTTGTAACAGAGGTCCGAGTTCCAACGGAGGAAAGAAGAAAAGTAAACAGATTCTAAGATTTAAGAGTTTTAAGTATTTTTAATGTTTCATCTACATGTTTCTCAGATTGGAACCTGTTGTTGTAGATGAGTTGGACAACCCCTTCCTTATCAACAACGTATGTTTGTCTCCCTGGAACCGTTCCGAACATATCTGCCGGCGGAACTCCCCATGCTTCCCGGACCTTGTTTCCCTCATCACTCAGCAATGTAAACGGAAGTCTATATCTCTTGGCAAATGCCTGATCAGTTTAAACAAATGTTGTCAGTTTCCAAGCGCAAAACATTTGATCAGTAAAACATACAAATATCCCAGGTTATCACACACAATAAGGTTCAGATTCTAGAGTCAGCGAAGTTTGTTTTCTAAAGAAATTCTCAAAAGGAAATTTTATACATTTACGTCAGTACAGACATGTAAAGAAAACCAAGTTAATCGGATATACGAGTATCAAATACGAGTGCGAATACGAATATGTGTTGAGATGTGTATGTATAAGTTTTTATGAATGTTCCAATAATGAATCGGATTCAAGTACTTCATGGAAAACGAAAAAAATCAGGAGACCAAAACTAAGTTCTGTAGCAAAAGGTTTATGCATTAGTATTACCTTGTGTGATGATGGATCGTAAGAATCTCTGAAAGCACATGCCTAAAAAGGTACCAATATACATTTGTTACCAAAAAAAAACCCAAATGACACAAGCACGTGTTTAGAGCAGTCACCTCCTTGGTACATATAGGGGTCTCATCTGCAGGGTAAAAATAGACAACCACAGGTTTTCCTTTAAACTGGGAAAGGCTGACATTTTTGCCATTTTGATCTTTCAACGTGAATGGTGGAGCACTGAACCTTTCTCGACCTGCAACCCCACCCCCCCAAATCATAAGCAATCAATGAAGCAATGAACCCAGCAATGGAAAAGAAATACAACGTGCATAAATGGAGGTTTTGACAGCGGAAGAAGAAGGGATTGAAAGAGGAGAGAAAGAGAAGTTGAGGCCATAAAATTGAGAGTGTGATGATTTGGATAGAATTGGGACACATTGAGGAACATAAGACTGAGTTTTGGGAGTGAGAGAAGGGAATAAAGAAGCAAGAGTGTGGTTAGGGAGTGTTAGAGATGATGAAGCCGCCATTATTTGATCTGGAGCCCCAAGTGTAAGGTGTGTGTTCTTAAACTGAAGTTGCTGGTGAATCGGAGAAACAGTGGGATTTGGATTTATCATTGGGGTTTTGGGGTTTGGAGGAGGAAGCCGAGACTAGAAGAGGGGCTTATTGGATCAGCTCAGAGGAATGGTTGGCAATGGATGGGCATTGCGTGGACAACTTCTGTCCCTAGCCTAATTGGGTCCAAATGTTTTAAAATTTATTTTTTATTTAAAACATAAACTAAAACATTAATTACTAATTTTTAAGAATTGTTTCGTGTTATATTTTTATCTAAGTTATAATTAATAATTAAGTTAAATTATGATGCAATTTTAATAGTTACAAAATTATTTAGTATTTAAGTTTATTTAAGAATTAAATACTTATTTTAATATATATATATATATATAATAAAGATTCAACCGAATAAATATTGTATTTGACTCTATGAATAGAAATGATATCTTAACTTTTAGAACTTAATGAGAGAGAAATATTTTAGAAATATGTAATCTTTTTATAATCTTTGCAATTTTTGGGGTTAATACTACATAGATGGGTTTTAAAGGATATTAAAAGAGTGATTCGGAATATTTCAGATTTTAGTATAAATATAAAATTTTAGGATGCATATAATATCATGTATTTGTATCATTCACGATCTCTATATTTATAATAAATTATTCTTCTTCTCATCTATTAATATAGGCAAGATCAAAATAATGTTATATCCGACATGTTATGTGTGTTGTTTTATATTAATAAAATTTTAATTATTTTTCGCTTATAAATTCTCAATCTTACATTTTGATTATTAAAATTATAAAATAGTTTAGTTTTATTATTATTATTTTTAAAGTTATTTTTAGGGGTGTTCATTCGGTTAAAATGGTGGCCGACCGAACCAAATTATCATTAACCGAATTAACCAATTTTTTTTTCTTTAACTGTTAACCGAACCGAACTTTTTTTTGAAAATATTAACCGAACCTAATAATTCGGTTAATTTTCAAATTAGAAATTTTTAAAAAATTTCTAATTTATATAAAAATTGAATATTTTTTAATTCAAAAAAAATAGTTACAATTAATTTAAATAATATATAATTATAAAATAAAAAGTTTATATGGATTTTTTAATTAATTAATATTGATTTAGGTTTAAAAGTTATTGATCTTAAATTATTAATTCGGTTTTAAATAGTTTGGGTCGAGCTCATATGTTATATATAATATATTTAATATTTAATTTCGATTAATTCGGTTAATTTCCCGATTTCGAACCGAGTTAACCGTTAATCGAATTCTAAAAAATTTATTAACCGAACTAATTCGGTGGCCGACCTAA